TCAATTGTATTGTTGCTGTTGAGACTACACACAGTAAAGTATAGACCAATGTAACTGCTTCTGTTTGTACAACTGAGATGTCATTTATAAAAATTCTCATCGTCCATTTTTGAGTTGTGCCTCCCCCTCCCCCGCACATGAACTAGCTGCCTCTAACTAAGCTTTAATTTCTGACCCACTTCGGATGTGCTGTCCTACTGAACATGGACTTTCAGAAGCATTCACGTGAAGGTCATTTAATGTTGCTGCTTTTCTCAGACCTTGAAACGATACAGTGAGTCATATTGTTCCGACGATTAACTGTGCAGGAAGTGGACTAACCATAAATCTTTTACCACAAGCAATGAGCCGTGGTCTTTACCGGATCTATTTGCTTTTGGTTAATGCTACCGAGTGGCGTGGAGACCGTTTAGCTCTTGTCTGATTAAAGAAACGTGAGCGTATGCCCTGCTCTGTGGGTTCCAAGCTCAGACCTGCTGCTCCCAGGGAACCGGCTGGAGAAGGAAGGGGGACAGTGAGGAATGAGTGGGTGTTTCTGTCCCTGAGGCCTGTGTTCACACTTCCCTGGAAGCCCATGCGGATGAGGAAACCCAGGGGGACAGCAGGTCAAGCCCTGCCAACGGAGCATGTGCACAACTTTCAATAAAACTAGGTCTCATTCATCCCAGTCACCGTATTCTGCTGGTTTCTTAATTACGTTAAGAATGGGTCATGCTGACCGATTTGCTGCTTGTGTCTCTCGTAGTATTCGCTGGCCTACGCCTGCCTGAAGCTGGTGAATTACTCCTTCTTCTTCTGGCTACCTTTTTATCTGAGTAAGAACTTTAAGTGGAAGGAGGCCGAAGCCGACCAGCTGTCCATCTGGTACGATGTTGGAGGAATCATAGGTAGGCCGTGATACATCATCTTCCCTAATACAGAGCTAATCTTTCCTGGGTAGTGAAATCGCCATCATTGATGGTTTCAATACTTCACAGCCATTTCCCCTAAGCTGCCCTACCAGCAAAGAGCCAAACGCTTAAAGAGGAAAAAAATAGCAAGACCCAGGCAGCTTTATGGGGCTCTTTGTGGTGCTGTGGGTTCAAACCCCCCAACTCCTCAGTGGAAGAAGGAAAGATGAGGCTGTCTGCTCCCCTCAGGGTACGTGGGCTCTGAAAGTCTGTGAGTCGGAATCCACTCAGTGGTCTTGGTTGTGGTTTGTCATTCGAGGCAGGGAGACATAGACATGGCAAGGGCTCTTGTCCTTGTTCTTTGCTGGCAGTTCAGTTCTTTGTCTTGGGAAGCACAGGGCTGTCCCCTCTGCGGCCCATCTACATGTGACCCTTTTACAGTTTCAGGCATGGTTTGGCTGTAAAAGTGAATTGTATGTCTGAGGGCAAAGGGCAGACGTTAATGTGTTTGCGTTCTTTACCGCCTGCCTGCTTCATCACCCTCAGCCAATGAGGGAAGAAATGAGAGCTCAGGGTGCAGGCTTTCCAATCATAGAGGAGGTGTGGAGAACTGCCGTTGGTTTTTGGGTTTGCAGTTGCTTCTGTGTAAGCAGTAGACTTTAATAAGAGTGCTGTTTTGGTATAGCTGGGAGGGTAAAGTGAGAGGTTTTTAGCTGAGACAGTCTGATAGAGGTGTTAGTGAGCCGGCACTGTTTGCATCCTTTCTGTGGTGTGTACATTCAGGATTGTGGTAAGACTAGCCTGCCCCAGACACATGGAAGCAAACAGGGTATCCATAGCTGACAGATTCCCATAGCCCTTCCTTAGGTGAGGGGTCCTTTCAATGCACGTTGTCTGGGTACCTCTTGTCTGAGGTCTCCAGGGCTTCATGGCCACTAGGACTCAGAATGGGGCCGTCTCTAAATGCAGTGCCAGAGGGTTCACACCAACACTGCACGTACCTTGCTCCTAGCTTAGTACACAGCCCTGGCTGCTGCATTTCGTTTTGTTATTGTTAGCAGTCACTGAGTCACTTCTGACTCATAATAGCCCCATGTGCAACGGAACAGAACACTGCCCAGTCCTGCGCCATGCTCACAGGCCTCGTTCTGTTGGAGCCACGGTGTCAGGCTGTCTCCTCGAAGGCTTCCTCTTTTTTGCTGACTCTCTGTTTTACTGGGCGTCCAAAGTATACAAGATCAAGTCTCACCATCCCTGCTTCTAAAGAGCCTTCTGGCTGTACGTCTTCCAAGACAACATCAGGATTTGTTTGGTTCTCTGGCAGCCCACAGCACTTTTTGCCAGCACCTTCATTCAAAGGCCACCAGTTCTTCTGTGGTCTTCCTTACTCACTGTCCAGCTATCACATGCATATGAGGTGATTGGAAATACCATGGCTTGGATCAGGCACTTCTTTGTCCTCAAACTGATATCTCTGCTTTTTAACAGTTTTAACAAGAGATCTTTTGCAGCAGATTAGCTTAATGCTATTAGCTTAGAGCTCTGGTAGCGTAGTGGTTATGAATCGGGCTGCGAACCTTAAGGTCAGCGGTTCAAAACTACCAGCCGCTCCGCGGGAGAACGATGAGGCTTTCTATTCCTGTAAAGATTTACACCCTCAGAAACCCTGTACAGGGCTGCTATGGGTCGGAACCGACTTGATGGCACTTAACAACAACAACAAGGTCATTTGGTATTTGATGCTTCCAAGGTGAATATTTACTGGCCGCTAGAGTCTCACGGCACAATTAAGCATAGGGCTGCGAATCATGAGGTTGGTGGTTTGAGTCCACCAGCTGCTCAGTGGGAGAATGATGAATTTTTCTGCTCCTGCCAAGATTTAAGGAGCCTCTGAAACCCGTAACAGGGTCACTCTGAGTTGGTACTGACTCGATGACATTTAACAACAGCAGTAACATTAATAGTCTAGGAGATGTGACCCTTAATGAATTATCTTTCCAGTACAAAGTAGGGAAAGTAGCAGCTGGTTTTAGAAGGAGAAACAGTGAGGCCTACTGGGTGACTTTGATGATTTTTCCTTTGTTCACATTTTGGGGTCTGATTTGGCTCAGCCATCCTGAGGATGCGGCAGTCTGTCTTCCTCAGAGGAAATTTTGGAGGGAACTCTTCAGGATCCCTCTGTCTCTGGGAATAGTCAGGACTGGACGAGGGGGCCACGCTGCAGCAGGTGGGGCTGACTGTGCTCTGTCTGCCCTGCAGGGGGCACCCTCCAGGGCTTCATCTCTGACCTGCTCCAGAAGAGAGCCCCTGTTCTGGCGCTGAGCCTGCTGCTGGCCACCGGGTCCCTTGTGGGATACAGCCGTGAGTATTGCTGTGTGATAGAGGCTTCTGGGCCTCTGAGGAGGGAGGTGTTAGCTGTGAGCTAGTGGTCCGCCTGGGGTACCCTGAAGAGGTGCGCCAGGGCCCTCTCATTGTCCCCTGAGCACCAGGCAAATCCACCTCACATGGTTTTATGTGGTTGGGAGGAAGCCAGCCTGGCCTTTGCTCTGGCCTATTTCAAAGCTTGCTGGGCGGCTCTAGTAAAGGCAGAGTTACAGCTAATAAAACAATAAAAAGGGTGAAGGTTTCCCAGGAGGGAAGAAGATGGTAATTAGTAGGTTTGGTAGCTGTTCGCTGAGACACTGCCGCCATGAGAGTGGAATTTTCAGAAGCTCATTAGGGTAAGCAGCAGCAAGAGGCAAGGCAGCACAGCCTCCTGTCGCCTTGGGCAGCACTCGAGGCTGTGTGGGCTGCTCAATAAAGGCCTGACATCATGTGACCTATCTCCCCTTTATTCTCACAGGCTCACCTGACAACAAGTCCATCAACGCCCTTCTGATGGCGGTCACAGGTACGGTGCAGCTTCCAGTCTCCTGAATGAAAGAAAGGACGCTCGCATCTCCCTCAGTCTGAGTCACTCAGCCCTCAGCTAAGAGAACTCCCACGGCCACAGGGGGAGGAAGACTCCTTCTTCCTCACATCCTGCTCCTCTACTCCAGCCAGCTTGTCTACAGCCTCTGACGTTTTAGGGAGGCCGTAAGCTCGGAACCTTTGGACGGCCTCTAGGTTGAGAAGTCATTGCCCTGAGGACGAACTCTGCCTTCTCTCTTGGTTTAGGCAGCCTTGAGAATGGTGTTCAGGACAAACTGTGGTGACCACCTTTTGAGGCGCCCGTCCTGTATCCTGCTGTGTGTTGATCTTCTAACCTGTATCAGAACTTCCCCACGTGGGTGTCCCCCCCTCCCCACCCACCAGCGTGCGACCATTTGCTGCCCCTCAGCAGCGTCCGGTGCTTTTTTTATTATTTTTTTTAAATGGCTGTCCACGCACTTTTATTGCTCTTTTAAGTTTTGGTTAGTTAGTGCAGGGGTTGATGATTCATTTTAGTCTCGTCAGTGGTGCATGTCACCTTCAGACCAGAGGCAGGCCAGTCCCCAGCACGTTGACAGGTGCACGGCTGCTCCTTCAAATGTGGGGGTGGGGTGGGGCTGGCCTTGAGACTTCCACCTCTGGCTGTCCAAATGGCTCCCTTGGCTTCCTCAACTCCTGTGGCCTCTCAGGTATTGTTTATCTGGTGACGTCCAGAAAAACTGACACCTGCCTCACATAGGGTGCGGTCAGTGATGCCATCATGGAGTACCACTAGATGACATTTATAAAAACCGGGGCCCATTCCACAAGTGCCGAGGAATGGTCCCAAGACTGTCTCCAGAGCTGAGCTGGGTGGATCTTCTTGAAGGAAGGGGGCTAGGGGGCCCTGGAGAGCTTTGCATCCCATGGAAATGTGTGTCATTTTGAGTCCTTTAGGGCAGGCAGGTGTTTTGTACTGCCCCAGGGGTAGACGTTGAAGTCGGTGTGTGGGACAAATGTTTTGTTTAGTCAGACTTGCTTCTGTTAGTGTCTGAGGAAGATGCTACATTGCAAACCAGCTAGATGTCTTTTAGAAAGCCCAGTGTGGCTGGTCTTCCTCCTGTGTTGGGGCTGATGATGTGTTGGGTGCAATGAGGGGCCTGCTATTTAAGGGTCTTCAAACTTGGGCAAGGCCCACAGAGCTGATTACAGTGGGACCAAGAGTCCTATCGGCCCATTCCTACTTGGCTCTGAGGACTCCCGGGAGGGGTGTCAGACAGGGTCACCTGTACCGTTGGAATAGCTGTCTTCTCTCACCACCTTATCCAATCTGGGGTTGGATTTGGGTCGTTAGATGTTCATGTGACAGAGCTCCATGGTCAAGCAGTTGGACAGCTTCTTACATGTAGCTGCTAAGGAATGCATACTTCACATGGGAGAAGAGCTGTCTGTCTGTTTGCTCTCTGTAGCTGTACAAGAGGGGGCTTCAAAAAGTTGATGGTAAATTTTTGTTATTTTTAAATCCCATTTTCCCATGAGCTTTTGGAAACACCTTGCATTAGAATGTCACAGACTTCCGGAAGGCTTTTTACTGCTTAGAAAACACCAGTGGGGGAGTTCAGCGTCTGATTAAAGACTCAGGAAGTAGTTAGTGGAGCCATGAGTAATGTGTTACTAAGCACGTCTTCTGTGTCGGCTTCAGGGTTTTTTATCGGGGGACCTTCTAACATGATCAGCTCTGCGATTTCTGCGGACCTGGGGCGCCAGGAGCTAGTTCGAGGGAGCAGTGAGGCTCTGGCCACGGTCACGGGCATTGTTGACGGTACTGGGAGCATCGGCGCTGCTGCGGGCCAGGTGAGAGCGTGGGGTGGGGCGGTGTCCTCCTGTCCCTTGGGTGGGGCTGGGACCTACACTACGTCCTCCTGTCCCCTGGATGGGGCTAAGACCCACACACTAGGACCTTCTGTCACTTGGGGCACATGCACTGGGCCTGAAGCCTCCTCTGAGGTCCTCTTGATGTCACCTGGCGTGGAAGGCTCCTCCATATTTCTTTCCAGAAGTTTCATTCCTTCCAGATTCTATCTGAACCCTAAGAAGAACGCTCCATCTGCTGTAGCCCCGCTCCCTTTTACAGCCTGGGACTGGCAGCCCACAGGGGTGGGGCAGGTACAAGAGCCCACCTCTGCCCACCCGCCCTCCTGCATACCACACACGCACCCACACTCACGTTCTTTACAAGCAAGCAGCCCTGGACTCTGGGCTGCCGCTCCAGTTTCCTGTATTCACCGTGGCTGGAAATCTGAGATGGTGCATCCACAGGTGGTCTATCCATGTCCTCCATCATAATGTTCAGGGCTCCTCATGAAGATGGCCTGGGGCAGGGCTGGCCGGGGTGTCTGCTTTCAGAAAGGTATCTGGTGAAGTCAGACGTCACTAGGTGAAGATTGGGCTCCTACAGAACTTTCCTAATTGGTGTTTTTGTGACACTTAAGGCACTGGTTCTGCTCCTAGTCACCCTGGGCTGCTTGGGAGCAGTGTGGGTTTGAGAATCATCGACGTGGGTAGAATAGCTGAGGCGGTGGTGGTAGAAGAGGTTTTAATAGGGAGAAAGAATAAAGTACAAAAGATAGAACCTCGGGGAAGGAATGCCCCGTAATCAAAGACAGTGAGGAGAGCACACGTCATCCAAGGCAGAGCATCTGAGGAGTGCTGGGTATGGGGAAGTCCAGGAGAACTGGACACAAAAGGACACTTGGTGTTGACACTAAAACCATTGCTGCAGAGTTGATGCTGACTCTCAGTGAGCCTACAGGACAGAGCAGGGGTGTCCACAGGGGTTCCGAGACTGTCATCTTCATGAGAGCACATCACCAGGGCTTTCCTCCTGTGGAGCCACTGGATGGGTTTGAACCACCAACCTTAAGGGTAGCAGCCAGGTGCTTTAACCGTTGGGCCACTGGGACTCCTCGTGTAGATGTTGTTAAGTGTTGTCGAGTCAGTTCCAGCTCAGAGTGACCCTGTATAGGGTTTCTGAGGAGCAACTGGTGGGTTTGAACCGCTGACCTTACTGTCCTTAGTCCATTACTTATCCTGTGGAGCCAACAAGCTCCTGTGTGTACATTGTTGTAGTTATTGTTAAGTGCTGTCGAGTTGGTTCTGACTCATAGAGTACTCTATATAGGGTTTCCAGGGAGTTACTGGTGAGTTTGAACCACCAACTTTGCAATTCAAACTGGCCTGTGGTCCAGTGCTCTTCCTACAGCGTCACACCAGGACTCTGTTGACGTTGTGAAGTTGTTAGTGTTTGTTGTCTGTCTGCCGTGCTATGATTCAGGCTTCACAAGGACAGTGTTGTGCTTGCTTTGTATTCTCTGATGCAGAGGAGCCATTCAGCTGTTTGTCGCATGATTGGTAAATGATTGATTGATGAAATTGATATACTTAGCACAATATTGGAGATGAAAGGGTACTTAGCAAAGATAGGGGCAGATCAGCTTACTTGACCATGCTCTAGATTAGGAATCCGAACGTGCATTTGGCCCTCGGTTCAGGCATTTCCCTATGTGGGGTCACCATTGGATAATGATTTTCTGAGAAAGTTCCTCATCCTCCTTGATGTCTCCACCATGAGATGAGTGTTCAAAACGTAGTAGTTTGTGGAGTTGGTCTTTCTTTAGCATGTCTCTACTGCCATGCTCAGATCCCTAGTCATGAAATGGGGTCCACACTGCCCTGAGGGTTATGGCCAGGGCAGCAGGCTCTGGAGGAAGTCGTCATTCACGTTACTGGTGCTTTAAGGCATCACTTAAGCTGAGAGAACTGAGGAAAAAATTCAAGCTTTTGCTTGCAATATGAAGAATTCTTTGGGCAAAATGTTGAATGATGCAGAAAGCATCAAAAGAACATGGTTGGTTTATACAGAGTCGCTGTACCAAAAAGAAATGGTCAGGGTTCAAATATTTCAAGAGGTAGCATATGATGAAGAGCCATTAATACTGAAAGGAAGAAATCCAAGCTGCACTGAAGGCAGTGGCAAAGAACAAGGCTCCAGGAATTGATGGAATGCAAATTAAAATCTTTCATACTGATGCAACACTGGAGGCACTCATTCATCTATGCCACAGATTTGGAAGACAGCTACCTGGCCAGATGATTGGAAGAGATCCATATTTATGTCCATTCCAGAGAGGTGACCCAGTAGAATGCGGAAATACTAGGACAGTATCATTAATACCGCACACCAGTAAAGTTTTGCTAAAGATCATTTAAAAATGACTGCAACAGTACATTGAAAAGATACTGGATTCAGATCAGGATGTGAAACAAGGGATATCATTACTGACATCAGATGGATATTGGCTGAAAGCAGAGAATACCAGAAAGATGTTTGTTGTTGTTATGTGCCATGGAGTCGGTTCTGACTCTTAGTGACCCTGTACAGGGTTTCCAGGGCTGTAAATCTTTACGGGAGCAGAAAGCCTCATCTTTCTCCCGCAGAACAGCTGGTAGTTTTGAACTGCTGACCCTGAGGTTAGCAGCCTGATTTGTATCCACTACGCTACCAGAGCTCCTGTGCTTTATTGGTTATACAAAGCCTTTTGACTGTGTGGATCATGACAAGCTATGGATGACATTGGAGAATGACTACTCCAGAACACTTAAATCGTGCTTACGAGCAACAATGGGACACTGAATGGTTTGAAATCAAGAAAGGTATATGCACTGTTGTATCCATTCACCATACTTGTTCAGTCTGTATGCTGAGCAGATAATCTAAGAAGCTGGATTCTATGAAGAAGAAAATGGCATCAGGATTGGAGGATGAGTCATTAACCATCTGCGAGATGCAGATGATACAGTTTGGCCTGCTGTAAGTGAAGAGAACTTAAATTACTTACCAATGAAGATCAAAGACCACAACCTTCAATATGTATTGTGTTGCAATACAAAGACAAGAAAAATCTTCACAAATGGACCCATAAATAACATCGTGATAAATGGAGAAAAGATTGAAGTTGTCAAAGACTTCATTTTTTTTTTTTTTTAACGTTGTGAATGAAGTGAAGCTTTATAGACAAGATCATCAGCTTTACATTCAGCAAATTACATGCTTTGTTTCATCTCAGTGATTACAATCTCCTCCCTGCAACAATAGTTATCCTTCTTCCTTCCGGTGGCTTCCCTTTTACATCTTACATTACACAAATGAACAAAGCACAAGTACTTGATGTACACATGCAAAACAAAAAATATATATATTCATTTGAATGTCCTAAGGCATATTCTGCAAGCCAGCCTCCTGCCTGCAGGCACACAGCCTTCCTCAATCCGTGGGCCTAGAGCCCATAGCTGCTTTGTCTCCATGCCACCACCTCTACCACCATCTCTGCTGTCACTGATTTTCTAGGTGAGATCTCAGGCTCCTCTACAAAGATTTCATTTTGCTTATATCTACCTTCAACACTCATTGAGGCAGCTGTTAAGAAATCCAAAGATGAATTGTGTCTGGCAACTCTGCCGCACAAGTGTTCAAGAGCAAAGATGTCAGTTTGAAGACTAAGGTGTGCCTGGCTCATGCTGTAGTATTTCAGTAATCTCATATGTCTGTGCAAGTTGCACAGTTTATAAGGAAGACCATAGAATAATTGATGCATTTGAGTGGATGGTGTTGGAGAAGAATAGCAAAGGTACCATGGACTACTAGAAGAATGTACAAATCTGTGTTGGAAGATGTACAACCAGTAACCTCCTCAGAAACCAAGATGGCCAGACTTCATCTCTCATACTTCGGACGTATTATCAGGAGGGACCAGTCCCTAGAGAAGTAATAGCATGCTTGGAGGGGCAGCAGAAAAGAGAGATCCCCAATGAGGTGGATTGGCACAATTGTGCTGATGTCGCAGAACTGGGAGGTGTTTTGTTCAGTCGTACATGGAGCCTCTGTGGTACTTCACACCAAGGCTGAGGGTGCCATCTTTTCCCAATCCGTGACTTAGTACTAAAACTTGGCCGCCCCACCCCCACCCCTTTTTCTCGGGACTTCCCAAGAAAAAAGACTAGTTCTTTCCTCCTTGTCTCTGTAACATTCAGCATCTATCTCTCTAGTGGGCACTTGTCTCAGTGGGTCACCCGAGCTGTTTGTCTATCTGTCCACCGTGCCAGACTCTGCACCCCCTTCAGTCATTGTGCTCCTGGTGCTGTTGCATCCTGGGTAATAACAGGAGCCCAGAAAGATGAAGTTTAAGGAACCCTGGTATCACAACCATTAAGCGCTCAACTTTCAACCCAGAGGTTGCTGGTTCAAAGCCAGCAACTCCACAAGAGAAAGATGCGGTGATTTTTGCAAAGGTTGAAGACAAGAAAATCCTATGAGGCAGTAGTTCTGCTTTATCACACACGGCCGTCATGAGTTGGATTAAGTCACAGTGTCTCCCAAAAGAAGTGTGTCCATACAGACATTTGAACATGAATGTTCATAGCTGCATTATTCATGATAGTTCAAGAACAAATGTAAACCAGTTGCCTATTGGTAGATGAATATGGTGCAACCATACCTCGGAAAATCAAGAAATAGGTGAGTGCCTCAACGTGGGTGAACCTCAAACACATTGTGTCAAGTGAAGTGTCCCAGAAGACCACTGATTGTTCATGGTTCCGTTCATGTGAAATGTCCAGAATGGGTGAACCTATAGCAAAAGGCATTACCTGTGTGGTTGCCTAGGGATAGATAAAGGAATTCTGGTAGCATAGTGGGTTATTCGTAGGGCTGCTAACCGCAGGGTCAGCAGTTTGAATCCACCAACTGCTCTGAGGGAGCAAGATCAGGCCTTCTGTTGCCATAAAGATTTATAACCTCGGAAACCCTATACAGATCAGAATGAGTCGGAACTGACTGTGGCAGGCTTGGTAAAGGTGAGAGATGAAGAGTGGCTGCTAAGATTGGATTATGGTCACACAGTTTTATTGCTCTGGAAACAGGCTCAGCCCAAACCCATTCCAGTGAGTGAAATTAAACTTAGAACAACTCTCTCGGGCAGAGTCTGGTCTCTATGGAAGCAGACAGCCTGCCGCAGCTTTCTCCCACACACGAAGCGGCTGCTGGATTCAAACTGCCTGCTTTTCGGTTAGGAGCTAAGCACTTTAATTACTGGGCCACCAAAGCACCCTGAAAACGATTAAATTATTCACATTAAATGGGTGAACTTAATGTTGTTAAATGGTTTATCTATACAGCTGTCCAAAGAACAAGATGTGGCGGACTGCCGTGCTTCGCTGGTGTTGGGCTTCATTGTTGTGGCACACAGTCCAGGCTAAGCCTTTCGCTGTACATCTGCCTGGTTAGAAGCGCCAGGAGCAGGTGTCAAACATTGCTCGAGCCTTTGCAGTGGTTGAGAGTGAACACTACTCCATAGGTCGTCAGTGTAGAGCAGCAGTCCTGGCCAGGGAGCATAGTTGAGAAAATGGGAGATGTACTCAGAAACCTAACCACACCACAAGCACCCTGGGGCAGCGCCTTTCAGTGGGGAGAAAGAATGACCAGTGGGAGAGGCCTGAGACTGGGCATCCTCTGTCTTTATGGTAGAAGATGATGAGTGAAAACATGTGTTTTCTGTTTCTGGGTTTTGTTTGAGGACCTTTACACAGTGAAGGGCATCGGTAAAACTTACATGGCAATATGTATGCAAAAGAGTTGTGTTAAAAAACACAAACAGCAAAGCATTATGGAACTCCCAGCGCTCTCCTGTTCGCTCTGCTCTGTAGCAGTGTGGTTTGTCAGTGACCAGTCTCCTTGTTTGTACTGTTTCTCTCTCCCTCAGTATCTGGTGTCTTTGATCCAGGACAAACTTGGATGGATGTGGGTGTTCTATTTCTTCATTCTCATGGTAAGTGTGTGTGTGCTTTTAAACTAATGATTTTTCTTATTTATTCCAAAGCATTTGCTTCTGGAAATCAGTTCACCTCATGGTTTCTTTTAAAGCTCTTGTGGTTATGGTTAGCTTTTGTCACGTTGATTGCAACTCACAGCAACTCCATGTTCACGGCTGGTCTGGGACCATCCTCACAAATTAATACATTTTCATTTATAAAAGATGTGTGAAAAAAAGAAACAAAAAGATGTGGGGCTCATACATAATCTCTTTCTAAGACCCTTTAAAAAAAAAAAGTAACATTTTATTTGTCTGAAAAGATCCATTTTTTCTTTAAGGATGAAAACGGCCTCCAGTTTGCTTTAGTCCTGAGTCTAATCAGCATCATTGCCTGTAGTTCTAGAGTAACAAACAGTGAGAGACTTAACATGTCCCCAGCCACTCACCAGTGCCCTCATCCAGGGTCCCCTCCCGCTGGTCAATGGCACGTGGGGATTCCAGAGGAGGTAACAGATGCCATGGGTTAACCACCACACGTTACCCTAACAAGCACTGGGCTAGTCCAGGTGAGGATTCCACAATAATGGCCGTTGCTAGAGGAAGTGTTGGCTATGCCCTGCAGACTGTCCCATGTAGAAGAACGCCTGGTGCTGTCTCCACTGAGCACACACAGGACATGCTTGGTGACACGACATGGCTCCTTAGAGTCTGGTGTACTGAAGTCTTGGTATTGCTGAGTGCTGTGGAATCGAGTCTGACTGACGGTGATCCCACGTGATAGTGGGGCTCCCCATGGGGTTTTCTAGGTTGTTCTCTTTACAAGAGCAGATTGTCAGGCTTCCTCCCACAGAGCCAAGCACTTACCAGTTGTGCAGACAGCCAATCTCTGACCTGGTCCAAGGGGCTGGGGGAGGGGGAGTCCCGGAGCTCCCAGGAGTTGACTCTAGGCATACTGTCAAAGATGACCTGGGACTCTCCTGGTTTCCTTGTCTCTCTGTCCCGCTTCTTAACATGTCTCCTGATGAACCTTGTGGTCCGTCCTGTTAGAACAGGGTTCTGTTATAAGAAACACAGTTTATAATCTTAGCCCCAGCATCAATTTTCTGCTGTTTCTCTGGCAAAGGATTTAATTTATGTACCTTAGTTTTTTTGGTGGTCGTTTTTTTAAAAAACTAAAATGTAAGTATTTTGTAGCAACATTAACTATGATTTTAAAAATCAGTTTTTAATCCCTTAAAGATTAAGCTTCACCTTTGTACAGAGTCTAAGTGAACGCTTCTGTTCAGATCCTCGGTGACGTTCCAGCGATGGGTGCTCCAGTTGTTGAGTGCCGTCGAGTTGTCCTTAACTTACAACAACCCTGCAGAGGGTTTCCAAGGAGCAGCTGGGGGATTTGAACCTCTGATTTTGTGGTTAGCAGAGCAGTGCTGATCCTCATGGCTTTAGTACGGTTTCACTTTTCATCTCCGTTCTCTTTGCAGACGAGTTGCACGATTGTGTTCATCTTACCGCTAGTTGTGAGGGAAATACGCCAACTTGTACAAAGGAGGCAGACTCCTACAGCAAGTGACTGACCAGTGCCCTCCAGAGACGAGGAAGTGGGCAGCACGGTGGGACGTTAGCTGTGAGCTCCACCCCAACCTGGTGCTCTAGGCCTGGTCCCGGCTGTCAGCCGCCTGTGAGATGCTGCCTGGCCATGATACCGGGAGATTTCTTTACACTACACGGTTATAGTGGATGATTTGTGCTGTCGTCTCATGCACTCACAGAGGACCCTCTCTGTTTGGCTTGTTGGAGTTGTTTTCTCCCTTCAGCCTTCAGTGCTGTACTGGACATGGGCTCTTGTCCTCCAGCCCCCAAAGCAGGTGAGCAGGAGGCAGAGGCATGCATGACTCTTGTGTACAATGTGCTCCATGGACAACAAGGTCGTGGCATTTGGCTTGATCCAAACTCTTTAGAAAACCGGGTCATCTTTGACACAGAAGTCCTGATACTCGAGCTGGGCCGATCCTGAGCTGCCATGACAGCCTTTCTGCGCATGTGGTAGAAAGGGCGCGGAGCGCACTGGGGACGCCATCATGCCCCATCAAATGTCATCTTGCTCTAGAAAAATAGTACCTTCAAATCATCATCACCTGGCTCCACCGCATCCTCATTTAGAATTCACTCTGACTCCAGAATGTACCTAGCCTTCCTTTCGAGGTCCATAAGGCACAGCCAGTATCTTGAACATTCCAACGAGTGCCTCACAGCCCAGGGGACTTGGCCCCAGATATGCTGGTGGGTAAGAGCCGTGGGCTTGGTCCTGTTAACTGAGGATTGATCTCCTCACAACCATATTCCTGCAGTTTCCTCAGTTTGGCTGAAATCAGAGACCTGTTGTCCTAGTGGGTGCTCCCTTTGTGACGCTGAGTCACATGAATGGATTATGAGGGCCTGAGGGGTCCACTCTTTAGGGGTTTGTAGAGAGTGTGTCTTCAAGGCTGTGAATTCTATACTTACTATCAATGTTTTAAGGCCATCCTGTATACATTTTAAATGATATAAACAGACGAGGGGAAAGGTGTACAATTTAGAGGGAACCCTGATTTGAATTGGGCTGGGGATTCTTTCAGCTTCATACTCTGAACTCTGAAATTATGGTGTGTTTACCAACCTGATAAACAAGAATGTTCACCAAACAAATATCTAATCTGTTTACTGCTTATTACTGACAAAGGGGAAATATGAAACATAAAAAGAAAAATAAATGGACTTTCATAGTAAATTCTTGCATCCATTTGTTTATTTAAATGCCTAGCCTGAGCACTGGTGGATTTCCTGACCTGACGTGGCTGGGGTGGCCCCTTTCCAGTTATGGCTGTGACCCCTCTCCCACACACACACCACACACACATGTGAATTGTGCTTGTTTGAACTGAAAAGTCGTGTGTAGATCGACTCCATGTTTAATGTCTAACCTCTGACCCTTGATCCAGAGATGGTTTCTTCTGCCCCACCATAATCTGCATGTTTGAACCACACTGTCCCAATCCCAGACCTTAACTTCACTGCAGAGTAAACGGGATGAACGGAACGTGAGTGTGGTTGTGTCTTCATTCCGTAGAGCTGTTGTGACGGACGTACTGCAAGTAGGTGACTTTGTTGTTGTTGTGACGTGGAGTTGGTTCCGACACAGCGACCCTGTATAGGGTTTCCAAGGCTATAGAAAGCCTCATCTTTCTCCCATGGAGCAGGCTGGTAGTTTCAAACTGCTGACCTTGCGATTCACAGCCTGATTCGTAACCACTACTCTACCAGAGCGCCTTGTTGTTAGGTACCATGGAGTTGGTACCGCCCCATAGTGACCTTATGCACAGCAGAAGGCCTCTTTCCTCTGCATTTCACACCCCTCCCTCCTCTGGTCCCCTCCCCCACCATCTTCCCCTTATCCTCCCCTCTACCTAACCTCCTTGTCCCTCCTACACCCCCCTCATCATCTTCCTCCCACATTCCCTCCCGCCCCCTCCCTTGTCACTACCCCTCCTCCCTTCCACTCTCCCCTCATCCCTCCCTCCTCCCTCACCCTCCCGCTCCCCCCCCCCTCCTGTGTCTCCCCCATCCCTTCCTCTCCTCCCCTGTCCCTCTACACTTCACCCATCCCACAGCTCCACACCCCTCACCTCTTCCCCTCCTCCCTTCTTGCTCTCTTCCTCCCTCCCACTTCCCTGCTCACCTTTTCTATGCCCCTCCCCCCTCCCACACCCTTCAGCCCTCCACATCCCTCCAGGCCCCTCTCCCCTTCCCCTCACTCCCACACCCCCTCATCCCTTCTGCTCCTTAGTCATTCCTCCTGGTCCCCCTTGATGTCCACCTCTGAGAATCTTGTCCTGACCACCCAGCTTCTTTAAGCTTCTGGGGCAGCCTTGTTCTGATCGACTTCACAGCCTGATTCTATTCTCACGTCTGGCTGTAGTTCCTCAGTTAAAATGTGAGCATCACTGGAGGTCAGAGGGACAGCTGCATCAGGTGGGCTGACTTCCCTGCCCATGGACTTCAGACTCTGTTCCTTTGGCTTTTTGGTAAACGCCGTTAGCATTTCTGAAGATACAGGGTTTCAGCATACAAGAGCACTTGAAAAAGCTCATGGCAAATGGAATTAAAAGAGGATGGCATTTTCCCACCATCTTTTTGAAGCCCTCTTTTCTATCTAGACTAAAACCTGTTGCCATGGGGTTAATTCAGACTGCCCCCCCGCCCCAATGGGCTTCCCAAGGCTGTAATTTTCCAGAATTTGAACCACCAACCTTTTGGTTAGCAGGCCAATGTTTAGCCTACTGTGCCTTTCTATGTACTGTGCTTGTTATATCTGTACTTAATCAGACTAAATATGGAATGTCTGTGTTTACATGTGGAGTCCTGGTGTGGTGCTGTAGGATAAGCACTTGATTGTTAACCACAAGGTTGGTGGTTTAAGCGCAGGGTCCCTATGAGTTAAACTGACTGCATACCACTTAGTAATAACAATATTTACATATGTGACCAGAGATAATACAAATTGTTTAAAGGGTTCCCTGTCAAGTACATGATAAGCAATTCTATACCTGGATACCCTGTTGTGTGGCTTTTCAGTTGTTAATAAAAAGTTGACCTGTATAAATCTTTACAAAGTGCTGTCCCACTTTGTGCCCCCCAGTCTTAGTGAGGGAGTCATGGTGGGGGTCCTATTCGTTCTGTTCTTTAGAAGTGGGAACAGATACTCGGGATCATGTGATCTAGAACATATCAAGCAGGATGTAGCCACCACAGGTCTTAAAATAAAGAAGATAGATTTTTGTTGCAAATACACCCAGCAGGACACACCTCAACAGTGTGTACACTGAGCTGCTGTAGTCCATTTCATCCCTTAGAGATAGTTCTTAAAAGAGCACAATGCTCAAAGCAGACAGTTTTTACTAGTTACGCTAAATTACTGTTTTAAGACTTCATGGGATATTTTTGGTGTAAGGCTTAAAGATGATCTCAGAGCAATTGTTCCAGGGGTTTATACAGTCTCCATGGCTCCAGAAATTGGAGTCTATACTAGGAATTCTGTTCTGCATTTTCCTCCTTTTGATCAGGATTCTGCTAATGGAATCTTCGATTAAAATGTTCTGTAAGGGTAACCAGGCACCATCTGCTTCTGATCTCATGACAAAGGAGACAGTTGTTCATGAAGGCAATTACACCACACAGTCTAGTTCTTCCTCTGGTCCCTGAGTGTCTTTCCTCTGTTGTTCCAGGTGTAGAGACCAATGATCTCGCTTTGGATGGCCACTTAGAAGCTTTAAAGACCCCAAGCATGATCCAACAAGCTAGGAGGCAGAACAGAAGCCCTAAGCTGTTGTTGTCAGGTGCCATCGAGTCGGAACCGACTCATAGCGACCCCATGCACAGAAGAACGAAACAATGTCCGATCCTGGGCCAACCTCACTACCGCCGCCACACATGACGCCATCAATGATGCCACCTGGCTGATCCATCTCGTTGGGGGTCTTTCTCTTTTTCTCTGACCCTCCACCCTACCCAGCATGACATCCTTCTCCAGTGACTATTCTCTCCGGACAACGTGTCCAAAGTATGAGAGACGAAGCTTAGCCATCCTGGCCTCCAAGGAGCACTCTGGCTGCACTTCTTCCAAAACAGATCTATTGGTTCTTTTGGAAGTCCATGGCACTTTCAGTATTCTCCTCCAACACCACAACTCAAAGGCATCAATTCTTCTATGATCTTCCTTATTCACTGTCCAGCTTTCGCATCCATATGAGGTTATTGAAAATACCATGGCTTGGGTCAGGTGCACCTTAGTCCTCAAGCTGACATCTCTGCTAAGCTGTTAGTAGGCCAATTAACTAGGATGTTCTTTGAAACCTTCCCACACCCAAGAACCAAATCCCATCAGGTGTTTAGTTGTATATTAACAACCTCAGCAGTTACTCTCTCTTTGTCATTGTTATAAATGTATCTATCACACAACTTCTTGTTGGTAAGTGCCATCGAGTCGATCCTGACCCATAGCAACCCTGTGTAGGGTTTCCGAGGAGCAGCTGGTGAGCTTGAACCACCAACCTTGCAGTTCAAACGGCTTTGCAGTCTGGCGCATTAACCCACAGTGCCACACCAGGACTCAACAACTTGGGTCTATTCAGTTTTTTATAGATATGCAGTTTATTGACAGCACTTATAATCCTCTGCTGTGTGACCCAGCCCTACCCTCCGTCAATATGATCTTTCCTCACTGACCGGCCAGGTCCTTGGACAGAACTCCAGCAAGCTTTCCATGCTACCAAGTGGCCCCATGTCATTTCGTTTCATCTTGTCCTGGGCTTGCATACAGGACAGACATTGGGCAATTGTTTTAGTCTATTCTGAGGCCAGAGCCCCAGAGGTGCCAGCATGGACAGACCTCAGAAGCTGTCCATTTCCAGATGTGATGGGCACTGGGCTCTTCACCTCTATCTGTTGGCACCGCTGTTGGTTCTTCCAGGTTTGCTGTTAATACGTCATCTTGTTTTAAAGTCATTGTCCATCAGTCTGACTTACGTGATTTTTAAAA